TAATTATTCAGGAATGAACAAAAGCCTAAAACAAAACTCAGTGTGTCCTTGTAACTTTGACACCCTTATTGTGAAATTGCATATTTTGTCAAACTCTGTGTTCTTATCTTAGAACATAGCATGAACTTTTTGGGCTTCATTTGTATGTTTCTTCTGTTATATTTAGAAGAAAAGTCATAGAACCATAGAATTTAGGGGTTGGAATGGATCTTACAGATCATCTAGTCCCAACCCCCTGCCCTGGGCAGGGACACCTCCTCACTAGATCAGGTTGCTCAAGGCTTCGTCCACCCTGGTCTTGAACACTGCCAGGGTTGGGGCAGCCACAGCCTCCCTGGGCAACCTGTGCCAGTGTCTCACCACCCTCACAGGAAAAAACTTTTTTCTCTCATCTAACCGAGACTTTCCCTCCTTCAATTTGAACGAGTCCCTCTCTGGCTCCTTGTAGGCCCTTCAGATATTGAAAAGTTGCTATGAGGTCTCCACACAGTCTTCTCTTCTCCAGGCTGAACAGCCCCAACTCCCTCAGCCTATCCTCATAGGGGAGATGCTCCAGTCCTCTTAGCAACTTTGTGGCCTCCTCTGGACTTGCTCCAACAGTTCCATGACCTTCTTATGTTGAGGACACCAGAACTGTGTGCAGTATTCTAGGTGGGTCTCACAAGAGCAGAGTAGAGGGGAAGAATCACCTCTTTTGACCTGCTGCCCACACTCCTTTGGATGCAGCCCAGGATTCCATTGGCTTTCTCTGAAATTAAATGGAGGTCACAGGTCTCCTTTAAGATCATGGTCTTAAAGACGCCTTTCAAGGTGGCTGAAGGTTTAGGTGGAAGAAATACATTCTTTCATTCTGCTATAAGGTGCTGTAATGGTAGATGGCAGCTTCTGTAAACAAATATGTTAATAAGAATGCTGTGAATTTGCCTTGTCAGCATTTTGCTATATAATCCAAACACGCAAGGGAGAATGGTGGTTCCATTGTAAAAACTGGGGAAAGGTTTTTAAAGTGAGAGAACAACTTTTATTGACCAGCTGGGAGAATGAAGTCTTGTATGCTTGTCTCCACCAAATTACTGCACTACAACAATGTTCCTAACATACTTTCCTGAATCCAAAAGCGGATGACTTTTTAACGGCTGTATTGTACTTTTAATGTCTTACTGAAGTAAAAAGAATTAGTCTATTACAACACACTAATTTCTTTCTTTTCTGTGCTTCCTTTCCTTCTTTTATTTCCCTTAGGCTCTAGCAAAGAAGGCAAGAGATGGAAAACTGTTACCAGAAGAGTACCAGGGAGGATCTTTTAGGTAATACTCTAGTAGTTTTTAACACATGCAGTGTGGGCTCAGAAATGTTTTATCCTCAGCTATTCCCTTGTGTTTTAATGCATGCTCATGAGTCTCATATCATTTAGGATGAAACGCCATATGATGACCCTGAGGGCCAAACTTAGGCTGAGTGTCTCACATCAAGGGGAAACAGTTATCTTGATACAGGTTTATTTCAGCTGTACTTATACTGGTGAAGCTCCACCTCGAATCTTGTGTTTCGTTTTGGGGCCCTCATTACAAGACACACATTCAGGTGCTGGAGCATGTCCAGGGAAGGGTAACAAAACTGGTGAAGTAGCTGGAGCACAAGTCTTATGAGGAGCAGCTGAGGGAGTTGGGGGTGTTTGGCCTGGAGAAAAGGAAACTCTGGGGAGACCTTATCAGTCTCTAGAATTACATGAAAGGAGGTTGTAATGAGGTGAGGGTCAGTCTCTCCTCCCACGTAACAAGTAACAGGATGAGAAAATGGCCTCAAGTTGTGCCAAGAGAGATTTAGATTACATGTTAGGAAAAATTTCTTTACAGAAAGGTTTTTCGAGCATTGGAACAGGCTGCCTGGGGAAATGGTTGAGTCACCGTCCCTGGAAGTCTTCAAAAAACATGTGGATGTGTCACTTAGGGACATGATTTAGTGGTGAACATTGTGGTGGTACGAGGCTGATGGCTGGACTTGATGATCTTAGAGGTCTTTTCCAACCTTAACAATTCCATGATTCTACGGCTCCAGGGCTACTCTAGGTGGGATCTGACCAGAGCAGAGAGGCAGAATTCCTTCCCTTGCTGGCCATGCTTCTTTTGGTGCAGCTCAGGATATGGTTTGCCTTCCAAGATGTGAGTGTGCATGGCTGGCTCATGTGCAGCCTGTCATCTACCAGCACCCCCAAGTCCCTTCTCGCCAGTGCTGCTCTTGAGCTGTTCATCCCCAGCCTGTATTGATACTGGGGGTTTCTCCAACCCAGGGGCAGTACCTTTCACTTGGTCTCGTGAAACCTCATGAGATTCCCATGAGCCTGCTTCCTGAGCTTGTCCAGGTCCCTGTGAATGGCATCCTATCCCTCAGGTGGGTCAGCCACACCACATAGTTTGGTGTCCTCTTCAAACTTGCTGTGAGTGCACTTGATCCCTTTGTCTATGTCACTGACGAAGACATTAAACAGTACTGGTCCCACTGTGAATCCCTGAGGGACACCACTTGTCACTGATTTCCATCAGCACAGGAACAGGATACCCAAATTGGTGACAGATGCCCCATCCCAGAAACATTCAAGGTGAGGTTGGATGGGACTCTGAGCAACCTAATCTAGTTGAATATGTTTCTGCTCATTGCAAGGGAATCTGGATTAAGTTGTCTTTAAAGGTCACTTCCAACACAAACTGTTCTGTGATTCTGTACACTTTAATCACTTTTCCACTCTTTGCCATAGCTATAACCAAAACGTGATAGTGAACCAGCTTTCTTCATAGACAATCTGTTACAAAAGAGTCCAAGCCTTTCCTAATATACCACTTCACAGTTCTGACACAGACAGAAATGTTCAAGGGAGAAAGGCACAAGGATGCTCTCCTATGCCTGAGTGTTACTTGGATGCCCAAATTGCTTCACTTGGTGGTTATCAGCAGCCATTGTAACTTGAAGTGAGGTTTAGTCTAAAAGACTTTGACTTGGAACAGGGATAGGCAAAGTGTATGTAAAGACATTACTTTGCTGTACTACTTTTTGCCTCTAGTGTGTCTTGCAGTGCAAGAATATATTGATATAAAGAGATGGGACTTTTAGAAGGTGCATTACTTGTAATTGCAACAATGCCAAACCCTTGAGAGTCTCAATGTGCTCAACTGCAATCCAGTTCAGATCTATTTTAAGTTAATATGTTTTGCCTCGGAAGAGATTTAGATCATAGTAGCCACTGAATATAGGTTATTTCTTCGAGGGGATATAAAATTTCTGATGTTACTGATAACTTCTCTTTCTTTTAGTATCTCCAATCTGGGCATGTTTGGCATCAGTGATTTCACTGCAGTCATAAACCCTCCCCAGGCCTGCATCCTAGCTGTGGGCCGAGCAAGACCAGAGCTCAAGATTGTGGAAGATGAAGAAGGGAATGAGAAACTTGAACAGCATCAACTCATGACAGTGACTCTTTCAAGTGATGGTCGAGTGGTAGATGATGAACTGGCTTCAAAGTTTCTGGAGACCTTGAAAGCCAACATAGAGAATCCAATGCGACTTGCCTTAGGCTAAACTTGGTGAAGATTGCTTCCTGTTTTGACAACATAGATAACTATTATGTACTTAGGGTTGTTCTTCTGTACAGAGGAGTAAATAGTTGGAGGCGGGCAGTTAAAATATTTAATTTATGAATTAATGTGAAAAACTTAATTTTCATGCTTTTAGTCTTCTGTAATGACCAGGTTTTATACTGTAAAGCTAAAAGACAGTTAACATACTACATTTATTTAAACAGTACTAATGGCACATGTTTGCATAGGAAAGTCAACCTCATATGTAAAGCAAAGCTCAATAAAGCTTTATGAAACTTAAAAGGGAATCATAGAATAATTTGGGTTGAAAGGGGCCTTTAATGGTCATCTAGTCCAGCTTCCCCTGCAATGAGCAGGAACATCTTCAGAGCCCTGTCCAGCCTGACCAGGGATGGGGCATCTACCAACTCTCTGGACAACCTGCTCCTGTGTTTCACCACTCTCATTGTAAAAGTCATCTTCCTTATATCTAGTTTGAATCTACCCTCTTCCAGTTTAAATGTATTACCCCTTGTCCTGTTATAACAGGCTCTACTAGGAAGTTTGTCCCTGTCTTTCTTAGAAGCCCCTTTAGGTACTGAGAAAAAAACCCAATTAGTTGTGCCAGCAGTGTTCTCATAGAGGTCCCACGATGAAAGGTCAAATTTTGCACACTGAATATTTGCTGGTTAGTGATGTTCTTTGCATGGATTGAATATAGATGTAAGTTGAAAGTGTTGCATCATCAGTGTGTGTCAAAATTTAACTCAGGCTCAAGTGCTGTGGCCTGAAGTTTAAACTGGCAGATTGGGATTTTGCTTATATATACATATGGAACCACACATTGTATGTGTTTGTTGTAAATTGACTGTGTTTACAGGACCTCATGAGAATATAAGTTGTCAGAAGAATTATGGGAGTTTGTCTTATTCTAGTTCGTGCAAGTACCTTTTTTTTAATGATTTGTGGGACTTACTTGTTGAGCTGCTGCCATAATTCAAAAGCTAATTGCAAGACCAAACCTTTAGTTAATACTGAGTTGAGAGTTTTTGCTAAATGAGTTTGCTTCTTTGACTTACACTGATGCCATAAATTTCATAAACTATCAATCTGTCAGTAGGGAGAGATTCTGATTAGCAGACCTGGTTTACTGTGCAGTAATGGACATATCCATTTTGTATTTCCAGGAGTTTCTCACTGATAAATCATATTAAAGATTGGGTGCTGAAGATTAATTTGCAGTTTGAAATGGTTAACCATTAATTTTGCCAAAGCTGTTTGCCAACCCTGTAGTACCTTAAGAAAAACCCACCAACTGATATGTTTGTCCTTTCTATGCAAAAAGTTCTCATTATTTGCATAGCTAAATCTGCTCTGCCCAAGAGATTTTGCAGTCAAAATCTGATACACTGCTCTGCATTTTTGTACAGACTACTGTAGTGGTGCTGTGTGCTCCCCAGCATTTGTGTGTCCTCAGCTGGCCCCAGTTAAGGGCTGCATGGCTTGATGTGTACAGCTACAGTTTTGCATGTGTGTGCATTCTCAAGTCAGGATGTTTTGCTCTTGGAGCCGCTGGAAGGCGCTGTTGGATGTAAGTATGGAACGTTTCTCATGTCTCCTTTGTGTGGGTACTCCTACATTCATTATGCTTTCCCTGTAGGCAGTACAGCTGCTTCTCCAGGTTAAACTTCTGCAACTTTTGAGCTGGGCAAATCTCAGTAAGGCTAATTTAGGCTTTAATTCCAATCTCTTTACACCTGCTTGCTAGCATTGTCATTTGAGGTGGATATGATGTGTCAGCCATCAGCCTGTGAAGGAGATGTATGGAATTCAGACATGTGATAGCAGTCAGATCTCCTTCATTCAGAGTAACCATACCATTTGAAACCATTTGAGAACATTTGTTCTCTCACTTCAGCAGAAGTGAGAGAACAAATAGTTGCCCATACAGATTAAAATTAAATATTCAATATCTTCCTGATGATTTGGGGATAGGGACCATGGGTAAACTGTCCCAGATAGGGAATCATATGTAATGGTTAGGCTTAGTTTTGAAGCAAATTTGCCTCAAAGTAAAAATTTCACAGATGAAAAATTTAGCTGTTTTATTCTTTCAGATGTTTTCTGTCAGCCTATTCTTCACATACCAAAGCAAGAAATACAATGAAGACATCTACTTTCTTAAGTAATTTGCAAACAAAAAATAACAGAGTATTCAATATCTGCTGGAAATATGTGCCTTTAGGACACTGACTATCTTTGTCTCATTTTCATTTGCAGGAGGCATGATTAGAAAGAAAGAAAGGGTAGCTATTTTGGCCTTTGTGATTGTTGGCAAATCTGAACCATGTGTCATACTTTAAGCCCCAATTATACTGTCAGAATATTTGACTTTTGGGGATTATTTTTTTCCTGCAACATATTCATTATGAAATAAAGTTTATATAATTTCTATTCCTGCTTGATGCTGTATCCTGTACCCCAGGATACATTTGGCCCTTTTGGCTGCCAGGACACACTGCTGACTCATATTCAGTGATGTTCTTTTCCATTTGTCCCTAAAATGTTGAAGGCATGGAGAGTAGATTCCTTTAAGTCAGTATGACAATTACATCTGTAATGGATTAAACAGAGGAAAAAATGAGCAGCTGAAAGTACCTTTCAGCATGTTCTTAGTTAAGCATGAGTTTTAAACTTACAACCTCTTGGGATTTCCTTCATTGTGGTCAGGCTTGAGTAAAGCAGGAGGATGTTCCTGGTTGCCTGTTAGAGGTGTGTAGAGACATGCTAACCTGTAAGTGTTCCAAAAAAACACAGAAACTTGGGATTTGGGTGAAATCACGTGTCTTGATCAAACTGGGGTGCAAATCATTCACTGGAAGCTTGACTGGCTATTTTGCATGGTTACTTTATGAAATCTGCCTAAGCTGTATCAGTGAAAAAAGTCACTGCTTGCTTGAATTCAGTTTGCACTCCTTCCCTTTTATGTCCATTTTGCTGTAACTTGTAGGTATCATGGTAGATAATAACTCAGATACAATAACCATATTGTTGTTCCCTCTCTCCAACAATAATGTCCCTCCCTGGCAAGTTAAACATTTGTGTCATTATGAGACATAACTAGCTGGATAATGACAGATTTTTCTGTTTGTTCAGTACCTGTACTAAGGAAAATGATTCATCCTATGTTAATGAGTACCACTATTTATCTCCTTAAAAGATTAGCGATCAAGAGAAGATTCTCTCTTATACTTTGGAAGTTTCTCTCATGTGGTCTAGACCTAGATGGGAAGAAAGGGCAGCTGTGAATATTTTTGTTTCTGTTCACTGTTGTATGAAGAATATCCTGAATTGTTAGAACAGCAGATCTTCTCTCCTACAGTTTCATGATTTTTGCATTGTCTGTGAAACATTCATTACAACACTTTGCAGGGATCCAAGCAGTTGAACCTTGTAGGATACTCTCCATTGACCTGGTCATCAACCAATTCCTGTTTCTGTTGCCTGTCTTAAGAAAATAGGTGTAATTATGTTAAAGTTTGCAACTTTGCTGCACTTTTTATTTCTTCTTCTGCCACATAACTTATAAGCTTAAACATCCATGGAGCCTGTTTGCTTGGGCAGGTGTTTATACTTAATGTGTCATGTCCCAGACTCCGTGAGCAGCATGCACTAGCTTTCCCTAGGTTGTAGCAAACAGCACACACAGTTTCCTCTTCTTTGCATAGAGAATAGGAACTATAACAGATCCCTTGGTTGACCAAGAAAGGAACTCCTCTTACACTTTTCTGAAGTTTGAGACTACTGGCTTAGAGTGTAAATTTAAACCAAATATTCTGAACACAATAAGTTGCTTACTCACTTGCTCATTTTGGGAAGGATTCCAGAGCACCTTTACTACTCACTTTATAGGACAAGCAATGCACAGATTTAAATGAAACTAATAGTCCTTTTTTTACCCCCCCTAAAGAGTATTTAGAGAGACAAGTTATGTGGAGAGTTATTTGAGAGTCAATACAGAAGTTTATCAGATATTATAACATCTTGCATTTCCCTGTTGACAAGTATAGAAGACTTAGAGCATTTTCAGGTAGATTTGGAGTCTTTCCTCTCTCATTTCCTATTTTGAACCAAATCTAGCAATCATAGTCTTCAAAGCAGGTAATGTCTTACCCAAGCTCAAGACAAGGGCTAATGATTGAGTGACTCCAAGCCTGGAGCAGAAGAAACATTTTGGGCTGTGCAAAGTTATCCTAAATGATGCTCTAAGGTACCTCCTTGGCTACTCTTCATATGTATTTGTATGTAATAGTAATCTGACAGGCTTCAGCTGCTATGAGAACTGCAGACAAAGGCCACAAACAGAGGCCCTAGGCCCTCTTAGTGAAATGGATAATACTAAAGAAGGAGAAGAAATGTAATCATTGAAACTGACCTAGCAGGACTGTCTCAAATATTATTAACATGGCTTAAATATTAAATGTGGTCTGAACTGAGAGAGGTGTTTTAGCCAAAGAGTGCATTTGGGCAGTTGCAAGAAGACAGCTTTAATTTTGAAGACAATCCCTATTGTGCAGGGTAGAAAAGAAAAAAGAAAAGCAAAAGAAAGTAGTCTTTTTCACCTGTACTTTAGCAGCTTGCTTCATATAGCATTTTATCTATTTTACTGATTACCAAGGAATGCCTGGATTTTTTTTAAGCCATTAAGTATAAGCAGATGATCTCTGTCCATGTAATTGTCTTAAGCGATCTCTGAAGGAAATAATACTTCAAAACTTTAGTGTTTCATAATGCATTTAAGAAAGGGAATTTTACTCCTTGAAGCTCCTTTTATAAAGGAGGTATATACTTTGCATATGTGTGTGTGTGTGTGGCCATGGCCATGTACATCTCTGTATGTGCAGACATGGACTGGTAACAAGCTCCAGTGTTTGTTAAAGCCTTTCTGACTGGGGCTACAGGAGGAACAGAGAGTCAGACTTGTGAATTCCCCTGCTGAGACTTCAGCATCTCTGCTTAAATGTATGTGTGTATAGGCACAACACTGGGGGAGGCCTAAGAGAAACCTGCCCTGATTACATTGGAAGAAAGTAATTGCAACATCACATCTATTGCTCAAACACAAGTGATGAGACAGGTAGGTGCAGTGATAGCTAGGAGCAAGTATT